CCAAAACCCCAAAACCCCAAAACCCCAATTTCTGATATCTAGAATAAATATTGATAAATTAAAGAAAAAAATAGACATAAAAATGCTCTAAAGAATAGAATAATTTGTTCAATCAGAGATCTTACAAGATCTTAATGACTATTAAGTAAAAAATCTCTTGCTCAAAATAAAACTATTTTTAGAAAATGCTATTAGAATGTATTGAGCTAAATAACTATGAGAAAATTAGCTAAACAGGAATCTATAAAGATCTCAAATTGGACATTAACTTTGAATTCACTCGTGATGGCTATTTTCCTCTTTATTATGCTTCTATGAAAGGATGGTATGAATCAAATACTTATTTATTATAGTTTAGAGATAGTAAAACTACTAATATAACATCCTAACATTGAAATAAATAAGCAAGATGGCCATAAACATAACTGTTTTTGGATAGCTGCAAAGTATGGTTTCTCATAAGTTATGCTTTAATTAGCAAGCAAAGGCATTGATATTTTTAATACATCGGCAAATGGATTAAATGCATTACATCTTGCTGCTGCTTAAAACTTTCCTGATGTAATTATGACACTTATTTCTTTTGATTTCCCCATAAATGAAACTACAAACTAAGGATTGACTGCTTTAGCTATTGCTACTTTTAAGTAGCACCATTAATGTATGGAGAACCTAATACTAAGTAAAAAATGTAATTTAGAAATACCGAGTAATGAAGGTATGACTCCTTTGCTTTTAGCTTTGTAACTAAAAGATAATATAGCTGCCAAAATACTAATTGATAATAAAGCAGTATTATTCTACGAAGATATTGAAAAAAGGAAAGCTTCTCCAATTTTATTGGCAGTGAAGAATTAACTTTTAAATATTTTAGAGATGATTAACTCTAGAGCACCAGGTTTGATATTCTAGAGCATATTCCCGAATAATTAAAATCCTTTATAGTATGCAGCCTTAAATTCTTTAGATGAGATAGTTTCGTATCTATCTGTAATATCATCTAGAATCTAATTAGATGAAGAAGATGAAAATGGAATGAATGCTTTCTTATATTATTTATCAAGAGACAATTATGAAATGTGCAACAAATTAATATTCAGAGGAGCAGATGTCAATCATGTCTACATAAGAAATGGAGGAAAAACTCCAATCATCATGATGGTTTAACTTAAAAATGATGTTGCAATAAAGTTCTTGCTAGATAAAAATGCCAATCCTCACATTTGTTTTGGAGCCGATAAACTTGATGCTTGTGATCTAGCTAAGCAAAATGGATTAGAAAAAAGATTCTACATTTTCTAGAAATGTGATGGTTAAACAAAAATCTTGAATGATAAAATTTATGAGGACAAAGGAGAATTTCAACCACCTGCTGAGATATTTAGCAAGAATTAGTAAATTATTGATAAATAAACCAAACAGACGCAGCCTAATGAAAGCAGAGAAAAAGCATTAAATTAAGGAAGACCCGTAGAGAAAGTATAAACATAAGATGAAATACTCTCCCAGCTTTTATAAAAGAATCAAGAAATGAATGACGATATACAACCCTTGCAATCTGAAATAAATTTAGCATCATATGAAAACAGTGGACCTAGTATACCGAGATTTAATTACCCATCTGATATGAGTAGAGAGCAAGTTTTAGCATTTGAAGCAGATAGACTTAAACGGCAGGTAGAATTTATAGAATTAGAGAAGAAAAGAGAGTTATAGCTTAAGTAAAATAAAGAATAGCTCAAAGTATAGTAAAGGATAATGCTAGAAGAATTGCAAAGACTAGATGAAAGAATGATTCAAAGTCATGATAACTATGCGGAAGTAGAAAATCGAGAAATGTACTTATTTGAAGAAAAGATTAAGAATTATAAGCTAAAGAGAGAATAAGATAAAAATGACTTGATTTTACTTTAATAGTAGATTTAGAAGAAATAACTGGAAAGAGAAGAAATTAGCAAGCAAGAAAGACTTATAAAGCTCGAGGAGGAGTAAGCCTTTTAAGTATTGACTGAGAAGGTAGAGTAAAAGAGATAGGAGATATTAGGATTCTAAGAAGTTTTATAGAGAAACGTTGTATTATAAAATAAAAAAGAAGTTGAAATTGAAGATTAAAGAAAGGAAGTGTTCATGAAATATCTTTAAATGAGAAAGAAAATAGATTATGAGTAAGTTTAACAAGAGGCGAATCATCTTAGAAAAGAAGTTGAAAACGATTTTTTGGAGAGAGAAATTCAAGACAGAATCAGAAGAGCTAAGTTACAATTGGAATTATAAGTTGATCAAGTCGATACAAATGCACTGAAATTAGATAATGATATATAAATAGCCAAGGTAAAAAGAGCAGCACCTGAAACGTTGAATAAAATATAAGAAAATTTAACTATTAGTGATTGGTCCCAGGAAGAAGGATTATGGGAAACATATAAAGAAAAAATGAGATAATAGGAGTTAGCTTAACAATAATAAATGAACTAAAAAATGCCTGATTTTAGTAGAATTGAACGATATTTAAGTGAGCACTAATTTGATCTTGATGTTAATTTTGGAAAATTAAATCAGAAGGAGCATAATAAAACAGGTTAATCATTTGGAAAGAAATCTAACACGAACACTAAATCAGAATATAAACCCACAAAATAAATTACTATATATGAAGAAATGAGATTAGCAGAAGAAATGATAAGCTAATTATCATCTAAGATAAAAAGCTTTGGTTCTAAGAAACCATAGTCATCAAATAGATTGAGACAAACAACTGATAATACAAAACTAATGTCAAAGGCCTTCAATAGAAACTAAACTCAGGGAGGGAAATAGCCAAGAAGATAGAATTCTTAATCAACTTTGATATCAATGAATTAAAATAATAGAAGATTCTAAACAGATGCTAAGACAGTCCCTACTTCTCCAAATAGAAGTCCAATGAGTAGCCATTTGAATAGATCAGAAATAAATAGTTTCATTCGGAATCATAAATAAATTGAATCAGAAAAGTAATATGAGAGGTAGAGATCTAATTTAAGATCTCAAAAGACGAGTCCTTCAAGACCTGTATTCAGATGATAATGATATATTTAAGTGTTATCATATTATTAAATTAAGATAATCTAACTCTTAAGATTGAAACATCTATGTTAATAGTCAATATTTCGCTATACATGCTGAGTTCTTTTCACATTATTTTAGCAGCTATTCCTCCCATACTCTGATCGATCATTAATGAAGAGCCTTCACCCTTAGGTTTACCATTTGGACTTTCTAATTCAGGTTCAAAACTAGAGTCGTCTAGAAAATCTGTGTTTATAATATAAGAGTAAAGTGTATTAGAGTATGCGAGATATCTGTAGTATTTATTATAACAATTCATGAGACAAACTGTCTCACTTCTGGTTAAATCATCTTCTCTAAATGTTTTGATACACTTATCTGCACAGTTCAATGTGATAAATTCCTTGTATTTTCTACTTTAATAATATTGCTTTAAATTCTGATAGAACCCTTTTCTCAACTTCATAAGTTCTCTCTTCTATATATTCTCCTCTATTTTCTTATCGAAATCAGCAGCCTAATTTTAAGTGTTCTAAGTGCCCATTATTTACTCAAATTTACTCTGTTCCATTTTATATAAAATCTCAATCGCTATTTAATTTTAATAACCATCAAATTTTTCTTATTTTATCTAGTCGGGGTTTTGGGGTTTTGGGGTTTTGGGG